CCTTCTGAGTAGCTGGGATTATAGGCACCTGCCACCATACCTGGCTACTTTTTGTATTTTTAGTAGAGATGGGGTTTCACCATGTTGGCCAGGCTGGTCTCCAACTCCTGACCTCAAGTGATGCACCTGCCTCAGCCTCCCAAAGTGCTGGGATTGCAGGTGTGAGCCTCTGCACCAACCATGGGTATGTTTCTTTTAAAATTGCATTGTCATGCCAGAATTTTCTCTCCTCCTACTTGACAGCATCTCTCAGAACCCAGAGAGCCGGTCTATTCTCTGTTCTCTCAAGCTGCCTGAATTGTAAGGACTTCTTAATTCGGCATGTTTACAATTAGCCTGTAGACCAAAGTAGTTCTGCAATTGCTGAAATTCTCTTCACCTCTGAAATTTCTCTTCCAGCAATCTCAGCCGATATGCACATAGATACTCTGATTTCTTTTTCGTCCCATCACACAGTACTTCCTTAACTGAGACAGACGGTTCACTGTTGTTGCCGTCATCCCTCCCTCAGGAACAACACCTCTCTGAAGCCATCAGGCTCTCTCCCAACGGAGGAATCGTGAGCTCATCCTCCGAACCCTGAAGGCCATGCTACCCATCCTGCCCCTGCCTGGTTTCAGAGGTGGCCCTGCTGCGTGGAAGTGTCCAACTGCCTCTCTCTCACCAGGCCACGGGCATGCACGCCCTCTGAATCCTCAGCAAGCATTCGCCTCACCTGTCTTCTCAGTTCCCACACCTCCACCCAAAGGAGGAATGCTCAGAACTGTGGGAAGAGCTGCCCCAGGAATGTGGCATGCCAGCAGCACCAATGAGCATGAGCAGCCTGGCACACACTTCACGTCTTCGGCCTGAAAGCGCTTCATGAGTGTCCTCATCCCCTTCACTGTAGACCTAGGGGAGTGAGGGCAGCATCAGCCCGGACTAGCAGAGCTACAGAATGAGATGCAGCCCTACCTGGAAGCCATGCTGCCCAACACCAGCCCGTGGGCCCCTGCCCAGCTAGAGCAGAAGCGCCCCTGGAAAGCCCACCCAGACGGAGATGCAGACTCCATGCTCTGGGGTAGCAGCTGGGAATGTGTTCTCACAGACTACTGTGCAGCTCTGGGGAGTGGCTGCCCCCACAGGCACCCCCACAGGGGTTCATAACCATGAGACACTAGGGTGGCTCTCGGGGCCTGGGGCTCCTTCAGGCAGGGATGGCACCAGCTTTGCCCTGAGCCCCCGTTCTAACTTTGCTAGCTTTTAGCCAGTGACTTCATGCCTCTCAGCTTGCATTTCCCCATCTATAAAACTGGGATCAGTGTATGACCCCTCGCCCCGCCAGGGCTATTGTAAGAAGTACAGAGCCCCATCCCCTGTACAGCGAGCTGCATTGTCAGCATTCGAGTCTGCATCAGCTCCTTGGCCATCTTGCCCTCCTCTGTGGGGAAGGGGCCATGGCAGCTCCAGGAGAACCTCCAGGACCTTCCCAGGCACCTGGTCTGAGGAGGGAGGGAGCTGGTGGACTGAGACACCACCGCCTCCCATGACAGGGAGTTCTCTTCTGCAGCACCGAGGACTGAGCACCGTGACCCCAGGTGACACTTCCTTAAGGCTTGGTTTGTAACTAATGGGCAGCTGGTTAGAGTCACCAGGTTGCTTTAACCAAATAACACCTAGGACTTACTTTTTATCTAGGAAATGCAGTTTGCAGAAGCATGACTTCGAGAAATAGCAGCACACGCTTTCACAGGTATTTCTTCTCCTCAGCCAAGCAGCCGGCAGCCTCTGCGTTATTCTTAGCCCAAAAGTGCCTCTGGATAATCCTCTGGGAATCCCTTTTTAAGAGTTTCTCACACATGAATCCAGATCCTCAATATAAAATTAACAGGAACATTTCTTAAATACTCCACTTCCTCCCAAGATAGAGCAGCCACAAGCTGATGCTGGCACCCTCAGCCTGGCTGTGTCAGGCTCCAGTGGGAAAATTCACTGTCCAAGTCTCTGAAATGTACGGTATTTTTATCTGCGTTGGATCAGACATCTGTGTCCTTGTGAGGTGGCGCTCCCGGAACATGGGTCTCATTCTAGTCCCCGCTTCCCAAGCTACGCACAGGCAGGGATGGGTAGGAGACGCTCACCACTCCATCTTCAAAGAGCGTTTATGTTTACGCCGGGCCCAAAGAGTGTCTGCACTGAGAATTCGACTGTGAGCAAAGGTGTATTTGCCACCGCTGAAGGTTGGCTTGGGAAGTGGAAGAAAGACCCTGTCTTATAGCTGTGACCTTGACCCTCTCACAGCTGCCATCCTCTCTGGACTCAGACTCCATAGAGGGAGTGTTTGCACACCCTTGACTTCTACAGGCTGTGAGTGAGCTGGGGTCCCAGGGGAGTACATTCTGAGAAGGGCACTGTGTCCTGGAGGCAGGCCAGGGCCCGCTGAGGCTGCGGGCCGCACTTACCTTCCAGCGTGCATCTCCAAACCCGGCCTCTGCCAGCGCCGTGCCTTCTGTGTTCACCCTTCCTGGTGCTGTGCTCTCTAAGATGATGATGGGGGCCATGCAGAAAGGACCCTCCCTGGTCCTCCTCTGCCCCCGCCCCAGCCGTGCCCTGCAGCCCCTGCTTACTGAGCACCCCATCCTCATACCCGCACCACAGGCAGGCAGGTCAGCAGGTCACCTCCCTGCGGGATGTGCCGCTCACGTTCAGAGCCTCGGCCTCCACCCAGCACAGTCAACGCTGAGTAAATGTTTGTTGAACAAGTAGGAAGTGCTCGGCTAGAGAACGCTCCCTCCTGGCCACACCCTGTGGTCTCTGCACTAATCCGAGAGGATCTCCTGAGCCAGGAGTGTGCCCATGTCTCACAGGATTTCCAGCAGTGGGAGAAAGTTAGTTTTGTGACAGGAGCCATGTGAAAGCAGGATGGTCTCATCTTACCCCAGGGGCTGCGTGAATTCATGCCACAGGCTGGATCAGTTCCCTTCCCAGAAGGGTGGGCAGAACAGAGGGTTCATCAGGAGCCAGTCTCCCATGGGTGCTTCCGTGCAGGGTGGCAGGGGTGGGTGCTGCACAGACCCCGGGCAGCTGAGCAGGACGCCTGGGGGCTCCTGAGTCACCAGCCCCAGCCCAGCAGCGCTCGTGAGCATCTGAGCATGTGTGGGTTTTGCTGAAGGCTACATTTCAACTCCAGAAGTTTCTGTCTTCCCCGTCACCTCCCACTGTTTTTCCAGACATTCTGAGAAGGCACATGTTAAGTTTAGAGTGGAAAAGTTTCTCTTCTCTTTTTAGACTTTTGAAGGGATCATATGTCTCTCAGGTTTTGTGGGGTGGTTGTGTGTGTCTAGGTCAGGCTGAATAGTTTAATATCAAAACAAAACAAGCTCAGAAAGGCATGTATTACACTTGTAATTTAAAAAATAGGAACATTGCTTAAAGACTAGTTATGGCTCCATTTTCTTGCTCTTTGCATTTTGAAGGGAGGAGCAATGTGAGAAATGCCAGTGTTACCTGAGTGAAGTCTTCAGGATGGTTTTCTTTTCCTTGGTTTTCTGTTGGCTGAATCACAGGTACAAGGTTCCTAACTTCTAAGTGAATGATTAAAAGCTGTGAGACAGTGCAGGGCTCCATGTGGATGCAAGCCCGCAGGATGGGGTTCTGGCTGGCTGGAACGCAGCCTGGGATGGGCTGGCATTCAGGGAACTGCTTGTGCCTGCAGGATCAGTGGACGCCTGCATGGAGCATCTGGCCCTGTCCTCCTGACACAGGAGGTTGTCCCGGCACCATCAGGCCCCTTCTGAACACACACAGCCTCTGGGGTCCACAACCCAGCAGGACCTGTGGCCCCACGCTGCACATTGCACTCAGGACAAAGCAGCCCCAGAGCACCCAGGCCATCGTGAGGTCCTGTCGGCAGACAAGCAGCGCGCTCTGGCTTACCGACAGCTGGTCTCCAGATCCACAGAAAACCCTATTTAAAAATCAACGCAAAACCACTTCCTCCCTTTGTGCCAGGGCTCAAGCTGGCACAAAGCTTTTTCCATGGTAGAATTTCAAGTCCTGCAGGTGTCTGTGGCTGGAGGCTCACAGAGCCCAGGGTCTCAGCTTCATCCGCAGATGGCTGCATTGAAGGGGTTGTTTGGAGCCTCGTGCTGCCCGCTAGGCTGTGCCACCTGTGCACCACCCTGCTTCCAGCCTGCCGGGAGCAGCCACCCCCTCCCCTGCCAGCGCCCTCTCCCCAGGGCAGATTGTGGCCACGTCTGTCCTGGAGATGAATGTATCTGGTCAGTGCAGCACGCCCAGCATTACCTGTACACGCCTGTGGGGAAGGACCACTGCAGCCCCTCAGCCAGGAGGGTGTTCAGGGCAGTCTTGAGTTCCAGGCCCCATCACAGCCCAGATGGCAGAGCCCATTTTGCCACGGGAGAGAACCCGAGCCCTCCGCCATCATTCCCTGACTCTCCTGTGCCCCAGGCGGCTTCCATAGCCTCCTGAGGAACGCGAGGGACCTCGGGCTGCTAGCAGTTTTCCACCCCGTGCTCACCAGCCAGGTCCCTGACCTCCAGGAACACCACTGCTACCCAGCTCTGGAAAGAGCATGGATGGCGAATTCCTCCCAGGCCTCAATTCACAGCCTCTGACCCGAGAGCTGAGGTGTTGGGGGAATTGGACTCAAAGCCAGAGCAGTGCGGAGGCCCAGCCTCAGGCGAGGGGAGGATGCTGAGGCTTCCTGGGAGCCGCCCCCTGGCAGGGAAGGTGAGGAAGGTGGGCCACTGTCCTCAGAGGCTTCAGGCCCTGACCCCACCAGATGCCAGTCCTGGAAGAGGAAAGAATGTCACTTGAGCTCCAGGGTTGCATTTGGGGGAAATCCAGCTGAGGCCTTCCATTGGCGTTGGCGGCTCCTCGCCCAAAGGCCTCTTCTGTGGCTCTGAAGCAGCTCCATGCAGCCGTCAGCCTCACTTTGTATGACGGCCTCCATGGAGCATGTCCCATCTGACCTTCATGCCCCATGCCTTTGCCTCTAGGCCACCGTGAACACCCGGCCGCAGCGCATCCTGGACACCTCCTCCCTCACGCAGTCGGCCCCCGCCAGCCCCACCAACAAGGGCGTGCACATTCACCAAGCGGGGTAAGTGCCACCTGCTCAGCCTGTGGTCTGTAGTGGTGGCTGGGGTCCCACGGGCTAGGCTCTCCCTGAGCCTCCTCCTCCTCCCCCCACCCTGGCTTGCTTCATCCCCTCCTTTCTCCCTAACATGCATTCTTTCCCACTCCCTCACCACACACCCCACACCTGCTTGATCTGAGCCCCTGCCTTGAGCTCTTCCCCATCTTGAGGAAACCTTTCTTTGCACATGGTCGCAACAAAAGTTGAACTAAGCCTGCTGTCTGTGGCCTTTCAGAGTCCATAAGAGGGCATCTAGATCTCCAAGTCAGAGGCTGTAAGAGGGTCTAGATCTCAGAGTCAGGATCCATTAAGAGGGTCTGGATCTCAGAGTCAGAATCCATTAAGAGGGTCTAGATCTCCGGGTCAGTCCATAAGAGGGTCTAGATCTCCGGGTCAGAGGCTGTAAGAAAGTCTAGATCTCGGAGTCAGGATCCATTAAGAGGATCTGGATCTCCGGGTCAGAGTCCGTAAGAGGGTCTGAATCTCCGGGTCAGAGTCCGTAAGAGGGTCTGGATCTCCGGGTCAGAGTCCGTAAGAGGGTCTGGATCTCCGGGTCAGAGTCCGTAAGAGGGTCTGGATCTCCGGGTCAGAGTCCGTAAGAGGGTATGGATCTCCGGGTCAGAGTCTGTAAGAGGGTCTGGATCTCCGGGTCAGAGTCCGTAAGAGGGTCTGGATCCCAGAGTCAGGATCCATTAAGTGGGTCTGGATCTCCAGGTCAGGGTCCGTAAGAGGGTCTGGATCTCCAGGTCAGGGTCCGTAAGAGGGTCTGGATCTCCAGGTCAGGGTTTGTAAGAGGGTCTGGATCTCCAGGTCAGAGTCCGTAAGAGGGTCTAGATCTCCTGGTCAGAGGCGGTAAGAGGGTCTGGATCTCCGGGTCAGAGTCCGTAAGAGGGTCTGGATCTCCGGGTCAGAGTCCGTAAGAGGATCTAGATCTCAGAGTCAGGATCTATTAAGAGGGTCTGGATCTCTGGGTCAGAGTCCATAAGAGGGTCTGGATCTCCAGATCAGAGTCCCTAAGAGGGGATCCAGTTCTCTGAGTGGGCGACCAACAGGTGTTTGCACCTCAGGATGTGGCACTGTTTGTGACCTCACGAGTCCCGGCCCACCCAGCTCTGATCTGGGTTTGTCCTGCCTGTGCATTCTCCCGGGCACTGGAGTTCAGTGAGGGACAACCCTGCCCCCTGCCAGGCAGGCAGCCAAGCAGCATAGACTCGGCACCAGCAGCTGGGGTTTGGGAGTCACGATGGCATGCCACGTGGCTGAGGGCGGCCTGGGCCCTGGCGGCACCTGGGAGGGCATGGGTGGCACAGCAATTTGTTCCATGTTGCCTCTCAAAGCTCCAGACTGTAGAGAATGCAGTGTGTGTTTCTCTCCCAATTCCAGGGGCTCCCCTCCGGCATCCAGCACCAGCAGCTCCAGCCTGACCAGTGACGTGGCCAAGCAGCCGGTCAGCCGAGACCTGCCTTCCAGCCGGCCCAGCACCACAGCCCCCGGGGGGGCGCAGTACACCCCACACTCCCACCAGTTCCCCCGGACACGGAAGATGTTCGACAAGGGCCCAGACCAGGTACAGAGCCCCGGTTGCCTTGTGATCTGGACACTGAGCATTGCTTCTCAGATGGGGGTGCATGGCCTCCGCCACAGGCTGCTCACACCACTGCGGGACAGGGCAGGACCCAGGTCTGTGGACCGCTCTCTACCTTTTCAGATCCGGGAGCTGGCCCTCACTCGCGCTCCCCTCTGTCTGCACTCTGCAGGAGTGTTGCCGGGTGTGTTCCGGTTCTTCAACCCTGGTTCTGGGTTCACCATTCTTGGAGCTCCCTTGTAACAAAATGGGGGCATGGAGTTCCCTGGCGCACCCCTTCCTGGGTACACAGCACTCTGTGTTGCCTCGGGGGCAGCTGCGCCACAGAGCATGTATTCTGAATGTGTTATCTTTTCTATGAACATTTAGATACGCTGTTGCATAAATAGGTACACTCTCTTCGCCTTTAAAGTTGAGAAAGAAACTTCTGGAAAGAGGAACGTGTGCTTAGATTTGCTAGGGTTGTGAGAGCCACATGAGGCAGCAGGTGGTCTGGAGACCTCAGCTGTCTCATCCAGGTGTTGCTGCTTTGTCAGTTGAGGGCACCGGGACTCAGGAAGGTGGCTCAGGGCGTACCCGCAGTCCAGCTGCTCTGGGTGCAACAGCCTGAGAGCTCAGCAGTGGAGTGGGGTCCGGACTCGCCTCATGACCCAGTGATTTTAAAAGAAGTTGGCGGCCACCTTGCAGGTGATGTGGGGCCTGCATGGCTGTGTTGAGGTAGAAGGTTCACCACGGCAGGAGTGGGCAGGTCCCCAGGGGTGCCACTCAGCCCTGGCCCACCCGGACTTTCCATGCCTCGGCAGAGGAGGGGCGAGAACCACCACTGAGCCCCATGTGCAAGGTCAGCCTCCGGGCCAGGCCCTGGTGGGGGCAGGAGGCTGCCACAGTCCTGGGGAGCAGCGCCGCCAGCACGTGCAGCTCCCCCACCTGCCCCCTCACTGACCACAGCTCTCACTATGGAGCCAGAGCAGCTGCCCGGGGGTAGGGGGATGTGCCTCTCTCTGTGCCTGCCCTGGGATGATGGGGAGCTCCCTGGGCCAAGACACGGTGTGAGAGACGCCAGCCAGCCCACCCCACGCTCATGGCACGGCACAGGAGACCCCTGGTGCTCAGCCTCACTGCATGAACACACGACTCTGACGGCCCTGGCCACTGCAGGTCCGATGGCAGGAAACACCCAAAGCTCAGTCCTCCCAATAGCTCCACGTCCTCTTTCTCTGGTGGCCGGGAGCTCTAGCTGGCCTGCACAGCTGCACTCCACCCAGGCTGCTTCACACAGGAGTCCCCGCTCAGCCTGGTATTGTAGGGCTGTTACGGGAGCCTTCCTGGGACCAAGTGGCAGAGGCTATTTGGGGTTGATGAACTGGTGTACACGGACCCCCATGGCACTGTCTAAACAGCCAGAATTGGCTTGGGAGCTGTGCTGGGTCAGCCCTGGGGGTGGTGGGCAGACACAGCTCACTTTACACCCTGGGACCCTCAGTCCCCGGCCAGATGCTCAGGGGTTCTCGGTCACCAGGATACAGAAGTGAGCAGAGCGCAGAAGCGCCGGCCTTAGGGGCAGCCCAGTGCTCCCGGCAACGCCTCCGTCCCCTGTGGGAGCTCTTTCGAGCTCAGGAGTGGCGTGACTGACTGGTGTTTCTTTTTCCTTCCAACCCTCCTACTCAACAAACCCCCGAAGACTGCAGATGACGCAGATGATGCTGCTGGACACAAAAGCTTCGTCTCCGCCGCAGTGCAGACAGGGTTCTGTGACTGGAGCGCCCGCTATTTTGCCCAGCCTGTCATGAAGGTGCGTACAGGCATAGGGTTCAAAGCCGAGTCCTGGCCAACGTGTGTCCCTCCCGCCTCATTACTCAAGGCTCGGGGCTGTGGGAGCATTGCAGTTGTGGTAGCAGTCGTGGTTGTGGTCATGGTAGTGGTCATGGTCGTGGTCGTGGTCGTGGTCGTGGTCGTGGTCGTGGTAGTGGTAGTGGTAGTGGTGTTCACCATTAAGGTTAAGGTAGAACCACAAAAGAAACAGGCTTCATTTACCTTCCTGTGGCAACAAAAGGAAAAAGCCTGCCTCATTGGAGCTTGCCACTGTGACAGGTGTCACTTCGCCGTTACTGGCAAGTCATGGCAGGCCTTCCACTCCCTAACTGTGAGGATCGCGAGAGGCCTGTCCCCAGGCCACGCTTGGGTAGCTCATGGGTTTGGGTACTATTAGACCAAGCCGCCTGTATCCAACCCCAGCACATTTGGGGTTACACCACAAGACTATCTCTGAGGCTCAACGCTCACACAGCCCTAAGCAGCGCCATGTGCTGTGGTTGCGGGGGCTATGTCCCCAGGGGCTGGGGCAGGGCAGCGGCTCTGGGCCTCTGCGAGGGACAGGTGGGAGCTGCTTTGTCAACACAGTCCCAGAGTTTATCTCTCTACCAAGGTCCAGCGGAGACTCGTGTAGATTTTCTATAAATCTAAAGTGCATTCTGAGAAAACCTTCCTCTTCCCTCATATATAATTGAAAACTAAAACTCACAGCTTATTCCTGATTGTACATCAAGCTCGCATCTTAGTAATCTCCGTGAATGGTATTTAGCCCCCAGGACAGCTCAACTCCTGTGTTCCTGTCCTCATAGTGAATACCGATTTCTGTTCATAAAAACGCAGAATCAGGCAGCCCCTGAGGCAGGCAGGTTATAAAAAGCTACGGAGCCCCTTTACTGCAAAAGAGAGGAGTTCGCTTCCCACTTCTCAGATGCGCCTGGGTCAGTGCCCGCCTCATTGACACCATCTGGCCAGTGAGCATCAGACACCTTCAGTCCCCATCCCCTTCGACCCGGCCATGACTCTGCTCAAAGACTCTCTAGAGAAAATAATCTAGACACAGATGACTTCTGTGTTATTCATAAGAATGAAAATTGAGATTCGCTTTAATGTCCACAGAGGGTGAATAGTTAAAAAGTTATGAAATATTTGATGAGATATTATTGGGGCTGTTGAAAAGTTAAACATGAAAACTAGTGTCCTGAGGAAGTGCTCGTGATGACATTCTTTAATCGGAAAAAATGCAGGCCCAGAGCCTGGATCTGCAGAGTGGTCATAGCTGCAGTTCCCACGTGCAGAACATTGTGCGCAGGATGAAGACCAGAAGGGCCCGCTCTTAATCAGAGATTCGCAGACGCCACCCGGCAGTGAATCTGGGCTGCTTTTGTGTCGTCTCTGCAGTTTCCACACTAAGCATGAAGCACCTCTAGAGTCGGGGGAAGGGGATTAACGAAACAAGCCCCGGGACATCACTGAGGCTGGTGGATTCGGTCCAGGTCAGCAGGCCTCTCACTTACCTGCGGGTGGCGCAAGGCTGGCGTCCCCTGCAGATGGAGGGAAGGGCCTCTTCCCATCACTAGGATGCTTCCGGTTAGGAAGGAAAGAGTAAGCGAATCCTGGAATTTGAGGCAGTAAGCAGGAGCCACCCAAGCTCTAGGCAAGCCGGAGCTGGGAGAAGGCTGGACACTGCGCAGGGGGTGCCAGGCTGCCCTTTAGAACTGCGGCACAGTCTGTTTAAAGTACAATATTAACAAGCTTGTCTCGTAGTCTTGTCTGCAAGCTTGATGCAGTCTCGCGCTAAAGGCAGATAAGCTCAGGTGACTAAGAAACTCACATCTTCCGTTCTCCCTGTTGCGGGAATGGCAGTGGCTGTAAATTGTGCTGTTTCTTGGTATGCTCATGAGAGGCTTTTCTTGAAGTTCTTGAAAAATGCCTATTCTCAGTCACCTATTCTGTGAGCAAGAGGAATGCGTAGATAACCTGACTCATTGCTATTGTGGTTGTGGTGTTCACGGCTAAGGGTAAGGTAGAACACAAAGGAAACAGACTTTCTGTACCTTCCTGTCGCCAGACAAAAAGAAAAAGCCTGCCTCGTCGGAGCTCACCACTGTGCATGTGTGTGTCTGTGTATGTCTGGGTGGTGCATGTGTGTCTGTGTGTGTATCTCGTGTGTGTGTGTTTCTGTGTCTGTGTGTGTGTCTGTGTGTTTCCGTGTGTGTCTGTGTTTCTGTGTGTATGTTTCTGTGTCTGTGTGTGTGTCTGTGTGTATGTTTCTGCGTGTGTCTGTGTGTGTGTGTGTGTCTTTGTGTTTCTGCGTGTCCCTGTGGGTGTGTCTGTGTGTCCATGTGTGTGTCTGTGTGTTTCTGTGTGTCCCTGTGTATGTGTCTGTGTGTTTCTGTGTGTCCCTGTGTATGTATCTGTGTGTCCCTGTGTGTATTTCTGTGTGTGTCTGTGTGTGTGTCTGTGTATTTCTGTGTGTCTCTGCGTGTGTGTGTGTCCCTGTGTGTCTGTGTGTTTCTGTGTGTCCCTGTGTCTGTGCCTGTGTGTGCTTCTGTGTGTCCGTGTATGTGTGTGTTTCTCTGTCCCTGTGTCTGTGTGTGTGTGCTTCTGTGTCCCTGTGTGTGTGTCTGTGTGCGCTTCTGTGTGTCCCTGTGTATGTGTCTGTCTGTGCTTCTGTGTGTCCCTGTGTGTGTGTGTGTGTCTATTTGTTCCAGTGAGTGCAAGCCCCAAGCCAGCTCTCCTCTTCTTCTTCAGATTAGCAGCCCCCCCTCACCACCCTCATCCTTCTCCATTTGCACGCCTGAGGGTTCCCACCCACATGGAGGAGCTGGAGAGTGTCAGCTTTGTGGTCTAGCCCTGCCAGCAGGTCCTGTAGTGTGGACTCTGCAGAGATTAGTCCGGGTGTCCATATAGCAGCTGCTGTCAGACACGAGGTTAGTCGGGAATGGTTGCTGAAGGAGTAAACATCGTCTTCCTCTGCCCCTGCCAAGTATTTGAAAGCAAACGCTCACTTGGTCGTCACTTGAGACAGCAGGCTCTGGGTGTCGCGATGGAAAGGAGCCCTATGGTGGCTGTCGGCGTCTGTAGCTCCCGATGGCAACGACAGTCTTAGGGTTTCTTTCACGTCACAGACCTTCTCTGAACTTAGCAGAGGAAGCAGGACATGTCTTATCTTGTTTTAAAAAGCATTGCTGTCCTCCTTTTCCAGGTGGTATTCATAAAGGTGTCTGCTGGTTTCGTTAATCATCTAATGACATCTGGGTAACAAGCTGCACTGGGAGCTGTTTGTATTAAGCCCGCTTCACATGTAAACTAAAAGCAGCTCTAAGACTAGGAATGAACCTCAAAAAGAACACAAGGACTGCAAACCCTAAGCTGCTTCAAGGCATTTAAGAAACTAAAATAGTTACCAGGTCACAGAATAATAACCAGTTTACACTAATGTGCAGGTAATGATTAGGAGGGTGAGGCTCCAAAGACAGTGTGGTAAGGACAGTTTCTGCTGACTTTTTATTAGTTCAGATTTCTTACACCTCTATGTAACTGGAAGGAACCGGGCTCTGTGTGTGGCTCAACTTTGATTCATGAAGCAACCTCGTTTCTCCCCTGTGTTGGTTCACAGAGCTCATGTCTGCATTAGAAACCACAAAAGAATATTCTAAATGGTCTGTCATATGCTTCAGAAAGAAAAAGATGCATTGAATTGTGTTCTGATTACAAAAGTAATACGACTTTTTTCTTGTCTCAGTTGGAAAGTTTCAAAGATGAGTTCTACCCAGAGCCTGGTTTCCGGGGCTGTGGAAAGGTGTGGGCTCTCACACTGCTGCTGGGCAGGTACACTGTTCCCTTCCCTGAGGCAGTAACTGTCACAGTTAGAAATCGCTGTCCTGCAAAGCCAGCACTCCTGCTGTGTGACACACATTCTTAAACCACCGACACACACGTCCATGTGGTGCCTCTTCCCAGAGGGCTTCATGACAGCATGGTCTGTAACAGTGGAAAGTTGGAAAGAAATTACTTAGTAGGATAGTTAATTTAAAATGATGCATTCATGCGATGGAATTCTATACAGCCATTAAAATTCTTACGTTGTGTCTTTCTCTGAGGACTTGGTTGACCATCCTTGATCTAAAAAATGAAATAAATTGTACAAAAAGTTTGCATAAGCTCTATGGTTTTGTAGACTGGAACAAGCACGGGAGGAAACCTGAGCAGTCACACAGCAAGCTGGTCATACAGCAACTTCTGCAGGGTGGGACTGCAGCCCAGCAAAGGGACTCTTCTCTCTTTCCTCATATACCGCTGGGTTATTTGAAGTTTTTAGAAAGAACAGTTATTAGTTTTACAATTTAAAACAGCCTAAAATACAATTTAATTATAAAAAGCTTTGAGAGTCAGTACGTTTTCGTGAGGCATCAGGTGGGGGCCCAGTTTCTTGGTGCACAGCCCCTAAAGCCACAGCTTGGATTCACGCTTGGCCGCTCCACAGAGAACGCAGATCTTGTTTTGTCCTGCTGGGCATCAGCAGGCTTGAGGGTGGATGTGGAAGCTGCACTGCCCATCATCAGGTGAAGCTGGGGTTTCCATGCACTGCGAGGACCTCAGACAGTGAAGGAGAGACCTGGCTCCACAGTCCCCACGCGGGGTTCCCTCCCACCGCTGGGATGACTCTGGCTGCACAGCTGCGCACCCTGCGTCTCACTTGCACAGCGAGCATCCTGTCAGATTCTCCCACAAAAATGACTTCTCTGTTTGGTTTTGTTTTTTGTTTGTTTTTCCTTTGAGAATGGCATGGCACGTGACATACTTTACACAAACCTGCAGGCGGCAGAGCCTGAGAAGGCCCCTCGTCTCACCCCCAGATCATCCACACCCGTCAGTCTGCTGTGGGCTTCACCCACCTTGGGAGCCCAGCTGGTCCCACCCCAGCTGCAGCTTCTAAAACGGGTGCTTCCTGTTCTTCCTGGAAAGCTCAGAAGGAAA